TCAACGCCTAATCGATAAGGTACCTACCTCATCGTGAGCGAAAAACTGCCAAATGTACAAAAGATAGCTAAAATAGTCGTTGAACAAAGTATTGAAGTATAATGAGTTACAGCATCCCTTCCTGTACCTCCGAAACATCGCCTGGACATGAAATTACTGCTTTTTTTTTAGGGCCGAATTCTGCTGTTGTGACGATGAAATCGATTTCAAAGCTAAAGTTTGGTGCATAAGGCAAGCATTTAGCGTAAGTGCTTTTTTTTCATTTTTCTGCATGTCAGCTAAAATCATATTAAACTTTATTGTGTTCAGCATTTTACAATTTTAACTAAATTATTTTTTAACTTTTTACCAATTTAAACTGAATTTGAGGATTTGGGTTTGCCTAAATTATCATATATACACGTTTTTTAACTTATTGGAAGTCTTAACTTATCATGGAGGAGGACCGAAAAAACTGTGCGGCTGTAGGGTGTGCTCTTGTGGGACTGCGGGGGGCACTCGCCCAAACCTTTAAACAATGCTTTATTTGAAAAAAAAGCACACACACACACACACCCAAAAATAAAATCCGACCAGGACTTAACGAGTAAGATCCGGCATCAGCTCCACACTCCGTTGCATAATTATTTGGTGCAGAAAAACAATCCGCATTTCGTTTCTAATCACATCATTGCATATCACGGAGGGGAAAACTCGAGTCAGGAGACGGGACATTTGCATATCACATGGAATCGAAGGGCAACTGGGCAGGGCGAAGGGAATCAGCCATTGGGGGAGTGTAGCAAGACAGTCGAGAGGTGGGGAGTAACGGGGTGCTGGAGGGGAGGAGGTGGTGGTTCCAGTGTAATGATGAACGGGGGAGAGGGAAGGGAGGAATCACCCTCCCCTCCCCCTTGCCCCAGGAGACCATCCTGTATCTACCTAGCGTACAATATCCTCATTATGGTTGCAGCGACCGAAAATGGTCTGCCTGTCGATTAGCCTACTGCAAATGTTTCTGTAATTCGTTTATTTCTTTTTCTCTCTTAGTTTTCTCAAAGGAATTGCTTATAGCATTTTTTTTTTTTTTTTCTACTTCTATGCAACAAAAATGTTCAGGAAATTTTGTCAGACGAGCACAATCGTGTATGGCTATCACAGGCTGGACGTCAGCTAATTGCTGATCTATTGCGACATGCACGCAAAGATCCCAGTCCATTTTATCTGGCTTATGATGCAATGATACAGTATTTGGGTGAAAGTCAACATATGGAAATTGTTGACAATGAACTGAAACAACGAGGAGTAAGTGATTTCACCGAATAATTTGTGTTTTAGCACATTTTTCAACCATCATACATTGATAATTTGAGCGGCATCTGCTTAATTTGATGTTCAGTTTGTCGGGAATGAAACAGATTAATTAGATTTTACTATTTTATAACATTACAGCTTTTTTATTCCTACCATTTCTTCTATCTCCTTAAGGTCTTCCATTTCTTCCACTCATTTCATTTCTTCCGATTTACATCTCCTTCATCTGAATTAATTCTTACACCTTACTAAATTATATGGTTACCACAGTCGTCGTACTGACGAGATCCAACTGTGATAAAGGTAAGAAATGTATACGACTTAATGGACCGAAACATTTCTTATCTACTTTGATAATTCTTTACAACCCTTTCATCGTTTTTTTTGCTCATATTTTCTCTCTAACCCTGAATGGAATAGAAGGACCATAGAAGGTCAAACTAAAATTGGTTACGGTCCAAGTAGAGCCGCCGGAGAGGGTGAAATTGTCAAGTGGTTTTTTGCGACCGTTGCTAGGTCGAGCCATACCTTCTGAAGTAACGTCCCGTACAAACCAAAGAAAATTCATAACAGCAGAATTCCTTAAGTTTTTTGGGTGGGAGGGTGCAGTTTGCTGATGAATTATGTTGGGGAAGATAGTTGGGTTGTTAATGTGGTACAAACCTTAAGAAATGTTGAATAGTCATATGCATGGAATATGTAGGTTGGTCTGTCTGAAAAACCTGTTCTGCAAAATCGTGTAGTGGGGGAAGACTCGAACCTATCGTTTTATCATCACTTAATCTTTCGAGCCCCCCCCCCCCCCCCCCCC